ACTGTACCCAGTTTAAAGATGAGTGACATGAACAAAAGGACGACAATCAGCCTCAAGAATGGGATAGAAGGTTCTGAAGTTGACCTTGTTTATAAAATCCTATAAAAGATACACAGTTTTCATTCTTATAGTGATATAATCTATAACAATTGACAGTTCAACAGGTTCAGAAAAGCCATGGTAAAATATTCTTCAAGGTTACCCAATTTATTGCACTCAGCGAGCAGCTCTGGCTAATTCCGGTCCCCAGGAGTTCCAATACACTGTACTCATCTTCATCATAAGAAAATTTTATCCCAATTCTAATTGCTTATTGTGGTTTACATACTTTAGTGTCATGTAATTTCGATTAGCATGAGTCAGACTTTCCAGTCTATAAAATGCTGACCAGCATGATAAATGGGATAAATCATGGGCTATGGTAACATCACAACATAGTGGCTTCTTGGGTGATTCCTTGGGAGAAAGCCATGTAGCCTTCATCTGACCACATTCTTTCTTACTCCTTTCAAAGCTACTTCATCCTACATGCTTGCCCATAAGCTGTTTAGCTGTGGCAGAAATAACAGAAAGAAATGCTTGATCTCTGGGTATGAATAACCATCATTGAACCAAAGATTTCATTAAGAAATCTATAGAGTGGGTCTCCCCTGGTGGTGCAGGCGGTTGAGCGCAGCGCTGTAAAGCTGTCTGCAGCCTCTGCAGTGCCGGTTCGATCCCAGCCGGCTTGCGAGGGTTCCACATGGTGCAGCAGACCTCTCCTGTCTCACCCACTGCTCCCCTCAGAAGTGTATTTCAGTCAGTCTGCCTGTTCTGTTCCCCGATCTGTCTCTGGTAAATACTCTCACCCTCCCACGAACCTGGCCTGTACTCCAGTTCTTGTATAAATAAATAAATAATAATAAAAAGAAATCTACAGACTTGGGGCCTCCCTGGTAGTCCCAAGGGTTAAGATGCAGCCTATGAAGCTGTCTGCAGCCTCTGCAGCCCAAGTTTGATCCCCAACCAGAGAGCTACCCACATGGCCCAGCAGACCTCTCCTGACTCGCCCGCTGTTCCCCTCAGCAGTGTATCTCAGTCAATCCGCCTGTTCTGTTCCCCACTCTGTCTCTGATGAATCCTCTCACCCACAACACCTCTGGCCTGTACCCCAGTTCTTGTATGCATAAATAAATCTTTTTTTAAAGAAATCTACAGACTAGAAAGTAATTCATAGTGTTAGAGATAACATAAGATGATCTAGAAAGGTGAGCTTCAAAGATCAAAAAAATGATAATTTTTTTTAAAATAAATCAGTTATAAACCTTGGAAGAAAGCAGAAAAGCATCATGACTCTTTCAAAGGGAATAACTGAGAATGGATGAGAAGATGAGTATAAAGTTCTGACATTTGGGGGAAACCTATGCAATGATCTTCAGTCCTGAAATAAGTCTACCTCAGTAGAGATATTTCAGATAAAAATTCCTACATGACACAAAAAAAGACATTCGAGAAAAGGTTATTGAATTAAGGTTACACAGTTATCTAAAAAGATGAAAATGAAGCAGAATTCACCCATACATATTTTTGGAAATTCAAAATCTTCTGCTTGCTTTTTTCTTCCAAATGAGGGGGAACTATTCTGAACATGTCTTGGGTTAGAACCGTAAAATGCAACAATTACACAGTGGGACATTCAAAACCATCTACTGAGTCATTCTCTCCTCTGTTGTCTGTCTCATTACAACTAGATACTATACACTGATGCCAGGGCATCAGTAGTCCACAGAAAAGAAAGTGACTTGTCTCCTTGGGTTCATGCTTAATTTGTGTTTGGGAATGATTGTGATATCATAGCACAGAGTTTATAAATGATGCATGAAATGAAATGTTCTTGATGTCACATCCATTGCTATTGTAATAATCCTGATTGATCAAGGTGTCATATGGGTTGGCATTATAAAGACCCTGACTGATGGGAAAGCAGGGCAGTGGAGATAGAGTGACTTAAGTTATCAATTAAAAAGCAACCACTTATTTATGAAGACACTGATAAACAGACATAGGAAAAGTAAGGACAGATAAAAACCCAATTATGCAGAAAGGCCCTGCCAAAATAAAAATTATCAAGTGGTCCTGAAAATATACCTCAGAAAAGTGGCACACATAGGAATACCACAATTAAGCCCATTAGAGTAGCTTATGGACATCACACCCTTAGCCCAGAAACGTTCTCCAGCATTTGGCAAGAGCCTCCAGGGGCTCTCACCCTGAGAAGTAGCACTCCCCTCCATGTCGATGGATGGATATCAGGAACTCTACATGCCAGCTCCTATCCATTCTGCCTGCCAGTCTCTGGGCTTTGTTAAGAGATTTATGGACTTCTCCCCCTTGCAGCCAATTGAATTGTATGCTTGTATTATTGTCACATTTATTCCCTTCAATAAATTCATATTGTGTGGTCATATATTGAATACATTTGACTTGAGTCATAAGTGAAACCTTCTTACTTTGTGGAAGCTAGCACTCCAAAGATCCCAAAGCTGGTAGAACACTTGACCGATGCACAAAGAAATTATCATTAATTGCTATGTGATCCATATCACTTTATTCAGCCCAGTGAAATACACACACTCAAGAGTTCACAATCCTTTGCTACCCTTCCCATCATTTTCTTATATTCCAAACTAACACACCATCTATGTCTGTCCCTCTTGTTCTGTAGACATTGTCTCCAAAATGTTGGACCATGACCTTAGGGAACAAATTATAGATTTATATACAAATAACTCTTTTGTTGATGTTATAAAGAAAGAATTATTTTCATTGTTTCCCTTTCAATAAAAGTCTTTGAAATTTATATGGGAGAACAATGAGGCAAAGAGGAGAAAGAGCAAAGTAATGCCTCTTGACTTTCTGGCTGGTGTATGTGATGGGTAAAATCGAAGTACTTACTTGTCTACTGACTGTAGAGCAATACCCAGTCACTTTGCTGGGCCAAATTAAGTCTTCAGCAAATCTGCAAGAAAAGGGATACATGTTTGCCATCTAGAAATAAAAAAAAAAAAATAGAGACACAGAAGTTTAGTGATCATTATCAGATATTTCAGCAAGTTGGTGCTAAAGGCAGAAATTAAGAACTGTTTCACCCAGTTCTTTTTCCCACCCACTAAATTTAATTTTAGTCTCAAATGATGTAGCAGCTGGCCAGTGAGGACCAGTGATAATTTTCCTCCATATATATGTATATGCTCCAGGTGAAAATATACAGATTTTTTACATTTTTTGACAAATAAGCACTGTAGAGGACAGGAATAGGACTCTGAGCAGGTTATCTGATCCCATGCAGACCGGGTAAAGGAGGAGTCAGAGTCCTCAGTGGTTTTGCAGGTTTTTATTGGGATTTACCCAGTACAGAGCAGGCAGGGATGCTGGATCCTGCCAGCCTCCCAGCCCCCCAGCAGGTCTTCACTCTGGGCTCTCTGGCCTTATCTCAGCTTCTCTCTCGGCTTCTCTTTCAGCTTCTACTGGAATCCCTATGACACTGCCCTTAAAAAGCAGTCTTAGCCCAGGTGAATCCCATCTACCTATGCCCACACCCTACTCCAGGTGCCCACCATCAGGCATGCATTCAGGACCGCAAGAATCCATCATCTATCCTGATGGTGGGAGGGCAGAAAAGCCTGACATTTTTCCTTACCCTACAGCACATAATGCTTTCTGTGCTGCAAAACATTTAAGCATCTAGAAAGACCTAAAAGCATAGTTTTGTATTATGAATAAAAATGGAATGCTTATTATAACATTCAAAATATGCTATAAAAAAAGAAAAAGAATCAAGAATGACCCCTATAGGCGATTCAAATGAGGATAGATGAGCCTTTATACTTTACCATTAGCTTACTTTTAAAAATAATCATTTATAAAACATCTAATTAGGTAAACAAGGCAGGATGTTCATTTCAGAAGAAACAAGATATTTACTCTGTGTCTTCTCTATCAATTGCTAACAACTTGTTCTAGCCATCTTAGATATTGCTTGGAGCTGAGATTCAATGAAGTGATTGAAATCTATTTTTAATATCATGAACAGCGAATATTAAAATATGCAAGGTATACAACCTACTAAGACCAATTCCTGGGTAGCAGTGATGAGAAAGCTAAGCTAGGAGGCCAATTTACAGAAACCAGTCACCTGTTTCTGAAAGGCACTGGCTGAAAGTCATCAGAAAATCTCACCTGCCTGCCAAAGCAAAATACTGGGTCAATCTGCCTGTACTGCTCCCCACTCTGTCTCTGGTGAATCCTCTCACTGCCCCCCACACACTTCTGGCCTGCATTCCATCTCTTGTACGCATAAATAAATAAATCTTTTAAAAATATATTGGGTAACCTTCTTCTATCCTGGAAGGATGCTACCTGCAGCCTGCCTGGTAATTGTGTCAGACAATGAGTCACATTGCTCCAGGTTTCCCTCTAGGCTGCTTATGTCAAAATTCATGACCTCACACCAGGTTTAGAATTCACCTGAGTGACTGAGTGTCAAAGTCTGGACCACTCTGGGTTGGTCGTTGTCATTACCCCTCAGAAATAACTGAAATCATGTGTGAGATTCTGCCATCTCCATTTAAGGAGATCAATCATCTAGTATGTCCCAGATGTTTAAAGTATGGAAATCATGGATGGATTTAATAGAAATCAGTTTTGAGTTTTAAAAAATTGGGGTAGGCTCTGGGATACATGAGGAAATGTGTTTGTTCTCTGAAATGAATCATTTTGACAAGTAAGAGGATTATGGCAGTTTGGTAAACCTAACACACATGATTGGAGTTAAAATACATTCATCCTTATTTCAGTTTGATTCAGAGTAGGCTAAGGAGCCTAAATTTCTTTTTTAGTCATTCTATAATTGGATTATGTTTTTATAAGGTATGAGAACTGAGGAGATCGAGAATTCTTCCTTAGCATAAAGACTCATTTTACTTTGAATATAAAAATGCTCTTTTACTCATTTTCTTTAGGTAAATTTGCAATGGTGTTTTAACATCTGAAACTCCCATCCCTGAATTTGAATTTCTGCATCATTAAATGGGCAACAAGCTAGGACTGGTTGATGAAAATATGAGCTGGAAGATAACAGCACCATATGGAATGATGATCACGTAATGAACCAGGAAACCAAAAACTGAATAAGTCAGACTGCTTAGAAACGCAAAACAAGGTGATCATACTCTTAAAACTGTTTCACGGACAAATGATAAAGAACATAACCCTCCAAACTTAATATTATCACCTCAACTCAGTAAATCTTGGATTGTCCCAAGTTATTCCTAAGTATATAGGCAGTTCTCATGAACTTCAAAGGAAACTACAAAATATTTTAAACCTGCCCATTTTCAATAAAACTGTAAGCTGTGCTTTGGACTCACTCTATTAATTTCCTACCCACTGTGAAAGCATAATGATGTGCAATGTTATTTTTAAGTTGAAAGCCCTAAACTTTTAGACATAGTCATGGTGGGATTTATAGAAGAAATTGTTATTTTACCAACAGTAACTGGTTTCAATGAAACATGGGTCTTGGAATGATGATGTAGGAGGCAACAATAATTCTTTATCCTACTTGGCTATTTTTACTCAATAGACATTGACACTTTGTGGTGTAATGAACTACTACTCAACAAAAATGGCTTGAATAATGACCAAAAAATAGTTCTATAAACTTCAGTATTACATATACAGTATCAAACACCATGTTAAATGACTAGTAATAATCTAGATCACTCCCAATGTCTAAACAGCTCTCAGGGTGCAGTGAGTTTTAAGAGCCTTTGAAGACATGCTAATGATTTTGGCCACTGGAATGTCTTCAATCAAACACAATGAATTGTGTATATAGCTGTCCTGGCCCAGTTACAGGCAATGAGCAATGAGCACTGGGTTTCTTACATAAAAGATCTAGTTTAATCCCCATGAAAAGCTTTTGAGTTAGGTTTTATTATTCACATTTCACATATGAAAGTTTAAAAGATTTTCCCTAGACCACACAGCTAATATAGGACCAAACTAATGCTGGGAGAATAATAAAACTTGTATAGGATTTACTGTGTATTAGTCATTGCTCTTCAAACTTGACTCACTTAATTTAATCCCCAGGAAGGGAAACCAAGGTCCAAGATCACATGATTAGTGCTTGACAGTGAGGTTCCAGAGGGATTCCCAGTCACCTCTCCCCTACTACTTTCTGTGCCATCTCTAGGAGCTTCAGGTTGAATAAGGGAAATATAGAAGTGTAATGTATTGGGATTCTAGCTTAGTTTTGCACGGTACAAAAACAGCCAAATAACAAGAGTGGCATTAGTGAAAAAGACTGAACTTCTACATGTTCTCAAAGTGAAAAAATAAATAAAACCTTGAGGTGTTAAATTCTTATTTCTATGTCATACTCTTGACTTCACCTTTGAAAACTGGCTGTCTTTCTTGACTCAAATTACCCTAAAATATTTTAGAAATGGCAATATTTTCCTCTCTAAGAAATTTCTAGAGAGCATATTGTAATGCAAAATGATGTTCCATCAACACATCAAAGAATATTTGGTCAAAATCAGAGAGAAAAGAGAATATTCATAAAAGTAGCTTGATGTAAAATATCCTATATCTGCTTTCAATGATTCTGCTTTCTGGACAAGAGGAAGCAAGACAAACAGTGCACATCTAGAAGTAGAAAGGGCTAGATAACTAGCTATTTTAAAGTAGTTCCATCAATTAAAAATAAAACAAAAAAACTTTACGCATTTCATGCACAGCTTTTGGAGACATCTTTACATCTTGTATTTTCTGTTAAATATCACATGGGCTCTAAATGGACTGGAGCATATTCTTCCTCAGTATCATTAGGATGATTTGCAGCTGGTTCTGTACAGAAATGGGAATAAGTGCTTAGGCACTGTAGGAATAAAATTGATAGTTGTGTGTATTTATTAAATATTTAGTGAGACTGACAAGTAAACCAAATGTATTAGACATGATCTTTGTCTAGTGAGCTGGCATTTCAAATGCAACATGGCAACAAGTCACATGGGAGAGTTTGTAAAATATGCTTAGAGGAAAGCAGAATTTTAAAATGCAATAACCAATTAACTTTCTATTGCACAGAGAATGCCCATAATATGATTTGTAAAGAAAAAAAAAGTTTTTTAAAATAGCTTTGTAACATTGAAGAAGAAAATCTCAATGGACAAATATTAAGATATGTGATAGGAAGGTCCCTCTTCTCCACTCTGCATTCTCATTTACAAATTGAGAAAACGCTAAATTGCTTCAATATGGATGTCATAGAAAAATAAAGTAAAAGAATAGCAGACATAATTTACTAGTGGCCATTTTGAGCCTCACTGATTTAGAATCACAAAACTTATGCTCAAAAAAAGGATGTCTCCTCAAAAAAATAAACAGCAAAAATTAGATAAAGTAGTACAGAGAGTAAACAATAAAATCTTATACTACAAAATCTAAGCCTAAGTTTACTCTGCTATCCATATGATTGTTTACAAAGGGAAAGAACTGATCAATTCAACTGTTTTCTGAATTATAAAGTTTGTACCAAAATATGAACATTACAATTCCTACCAGGACTCTTGTGGGAAAGCATTTTGAACATGAAATTATCACTCTAAAATAATGTGCTCTAAAGAGGGAGAGGGAGCCAAATTTGAGGGTAAAGGATTTTTTTGGTGGGGGGGTTAAGAACAATAGTTACATTACCATGCTTGTGCCTAGCAGAGTTCTGTAACACAACAGGCACTATTATGTGTGAATTGTGTACGCTAAAAAAAAGATAAGTGTAAGTTCCAGACCTCAATATCTCAGAATGTGACCTAATTTGGAAATAGGATTGTTGCAGATGTAAGTGATTGAGATGAGATCATACTGGGCAAGGGTGGGATCCTAATCTAACCTGACTGAGTGCCCTTATTAGCTGACCATGTGAAGCCAGACACATAGGGAAAATGCCATCTGCCAACAAAGGCAGAGATTGATGATATGCATCTGCCAATCACTGAATGCCAAAGACTGGTAGCAAATCACAAGCTAGGAAGAGGCAAGGAACGCTGTCACTACCCAGTTCAGAAGGAACATGGCCCTGCTAACACCTTGAATTTGGATCTCCAGCCTCCAGAACAGTGAGACAAGAAATTTCTGTTTTAAGTGATCAGGTTCGTGATATGTTGCAACAGCCGTGGTAGAAGGTGTTTGAAATACCTGAGTTTGAATCCTTATACCACCATTTACTAGCTATCTTTAGGCAGTAAACTTAACTTCTGAACTGCACATCTCAAAATGAGAATAATTTTCTCTAAAATTCCCGGCAAGATTAAATGAGATGATGCATATATATTTCTAAAGTGTCTGGCACATATTAGGCACTGGGTCTCCCTTACCATGTTGTAATAAAGATTAAATGGGACTAAATACATAAATACATTAAGTGCTTTTACTGTAGGTACAAATATATATTTTGTTATTCTAACATCATCCACGACTTGGACATGCCACGGAAGACCCACAAGAGCCCCCTCTGAGAGACAGTAGTTAAGATCCTGAAATCAGTGTCTGGAATGGTTTTGGAGATCAGTTCAGTGGGATCCAAACTCTTGCTCTAAGATGCAATGAAATATATAATCCCCTTCAGAGTTCAAAAAATTCCCATCAAGCCTCAGAGGGCAACCTCACAAACATTTCACAGCAGTTCCTTGAGAACATGCCCTGAACAAGAAAAGAATTACCCTTGCAAGAAGAAAATCACATCCAGTTGGAAAGCTGAGAAACAGAAAGGACAAAACACCCACTGGCTATACATTCTGTTTCAATGAAGACAAGACAGAACTAGCAGTTGGTATAAGATGTCTCCACAGGGATCAATAGTAACTGCGTCTGAGGAGAAACCATACTGAGTTCAGAAGAAAACCAGGAATGAGCCCCAGAGAAATCAGCTGCAGTGCTAAAACACCACTGGGAAATGGTATTACACCCATACCATGGAATTCTATTGGCAACAAATAGGAAAAAATTGTTGGCACATGCAATCATTATGGAAAACTGTAGGGGGTTCCTTGAGCAATTAGAAACAGAAATACCATGTGATCAGCAATTTCACTTCTGGGTATTTATCTTGAGGAAATGAAAACATTAACTTAAAAAGATATCTGCATCCCATGTTCAATGCAGCATTATTTACAATAAGCAAAGCAAGGAAACAATGGATGAATGGATACAAGTATGTGATGTTAGATTTAATTACATATACACATACTTACACACTCACAATGGAATATTATTCTGTCATAAAAAGGAAGTGTTTCCATTTCCATAATTTATGATTCTCAGAGGCATTAGGCTGAGTGAAAAATATCTGTCTCAAAATGTTCATACTGTATGTCACTGTATCAGACTATATGATTGCATTTGTGTGAAAGATGAAACTATGGTGACTGATGACATACCAGTATTTGCCAAGAGGTAAGGGTGAGGAAGATGTGATTACAAACGGAGAACACACAGGAAATATTTGGGTGGTAGAACTATACTGTGTTCTTATTATCAGGTGGTTATATGAATATATCCATATATGAAAATTCAAAGAATTTACTTCATAAAAGTAATTTGGGACCTCCCCTGTGGTGCTAGTGGTTAAGGGTCAGCATTATGAAGCTATCTCCAGCCTCTGCAGCATGAGTTCCATCCCCAGTAGCCCAGGGAGCTACCCACATGGTGCAGCAGACCTCTTCTATCTCGCCGCTGCTCCCCTCAGCAGTGTATTTCAGTCAATCCGCCTGTTGTGCTCCCCACTCTGTATATGGTGAATCCTCTCACTTTCCCCCCACCCCCGCACCTCTGGCCTGAATCCCAGTTCTTGTATGTATATATAAATAAATCTTTTTTAAAAAAGGACAGTTTTACTATAGGTTAATCTTTAAGGTAAGCTTCTTGAAAACTAGGAATAAAATGACAACTAAAAGTTCCAGCAAGATTTGGAGGGGCCCAAAGGCACAAAGGTTGATTGATTCTACTCTATTGGGACATCAGCCCACCTTGAACAAGCTTCAGCAGTCTTCAATATGGGGAAAAAATAGTTTCCATACAAGAAAATGGTGAGACTAGCTTTTGGGGAAAGAGAGAATGGAACAGGAAAAAAAAACAAAACAAAACAGGGATTTGAAACATAAGGGGGCAGTCTGAAATCCAGTTCTTGGTCTTCCCTATTTGAGCACAGTAAAGCAGAAAAAAAGGATAATTTTCTCCCACACACAGAGCAAGAGTTACTCTGTGCCAAGTCATCCCCTTAGTCCTCTCAGCTAACTTACCTTAGCCAAAGATTAAAGCAAAGCCATCAACTGTGTTGCTAGCTGTGCACCCCAAAGTATATCTCTGGAATCTTTGTAATTTAAAAAAAAACTTTTTCAGTTGCTATTTTAAATAGAAAGATGACCCCAATAATCATCAAATAATTCCCAGAATATACTTAAACTTCTGCTTGCCAGTTTTGGCATTGCTGACTGTCTTTGAGGTGTGATTTCCAGGACTTTGAAGCGGCTTTGAAGTTTACCTGAGAGGTGAATCCTTCTTCAATTTTCATGGCAGATCTGGACACGCCCCCTGCCCTTCTGAAGAACTTATGCAGCACGGGGGTCCCTATTGAAGAAGACAGCATGTGAATGACACTTCACAGAGAATATACGGGGAAGCACCAGACAAGAGAGGATCAGGCACAGGTGGCTAAGTGACATGAAACCATCACTGCCACTCCCCTTTTCTCATTCCAGAACACAACCCCAAAGGTGCTTGAGACCCCAATGAGTGTGAGGAAGGGGGTGACAGAGAAGATCATCCCTTTTCCACTTCAGACCGGGATCCCTGGGATTACCAATCACGCTTGACCTGCAAGAAGTGAGATAGTTGAGTTCTATATCAGATTGACCCAGATTTTAATAACTAAACATGAATGAAGTGGTGCTCAGCTATCAAGAGACAAAACAGTGAGTCAACAAAGTATGGTTTAAAGCAATGATTAAATAAAAATAAAACCTTTTCATGTTTACACCCCACAGAGTGCAGAGCCACTTCACAGAACACAAAGGTAGAGGTTTGGAGAGAGAAGCTACTTAATAATGCAGTGGCCAATCTCCAGTAATGAGGAGCAGTGTTCTGCAGTTCAGCCCAACCTGGATTAATCAAGGTAACTAGTGGCAAGAGGCTCAGGGGAAACACCAGGAAGTGTTGTCATGATTCTGAATGTAGCAAGCTGCCTCCAAAGCTACTGAAGTTGAGGTAGTGACTTGACATTTTAAGAAGCTAGCTCTGACAGTGGGTATAACATGAACCAAGAGGAAGCACAAGGCAGAAAGATGGAATGCAAGCTGAGTCATTTAGTTCTTTGTTGCTCTCCCAGTTTTCTCTTACTGGAATAGGCCAGGTTCTTGGCGCTCGGGCTGCTTGATAATTGTAGGGGCCGCACATGGACATGGTGCAGATTTACTGATCCAGCAGACAGGGTAAAGGAGGAGTCCAGGAGCCCTCAGTGGCTTTTCAGTCTTTTATTGGGATTTACTGGGTATACAGCAGACAATGGTGCTGGGGGGCTGGGAGGCTGGTCTGAGACGCCGGACTCCCAGCCTCCAGCAAGTCTTCACTCTATCGGGGCTCTCTGGCGTTCTCTCTGCTTCTTTCTCGGCTTCTGCTGGTTCTCAGCTTCTGCTGGTGTCCCCATGATGCCGCCCTTATAAACTCAGTCTCTCAGGCCAGGTGTACCCACTTCAGGTGCCCACCATCAGGCATGCATTCAGGACCACAGGGTTCCCTCATCTGTCCTAACGGCGGGAGGGCAGAAAAGCCTGATACTTTTTCCTTACCCTACAATAATCTACCTGATCATAACATGCAGAAAGCCAATAAGCAGAAACAGAAATTGAAACTAGAAGTTGCATTTTTATTTTTCAGATCACCAGTGACTGAGAGATCGGTAAGTATAATACCCTGAAGAAAGTGGTCTCACATCTCATCTCAAGCTGGCCTTTTTATATTGGATTAAACAAAGACATTTTTCATAAGCAAATAGCCCTTCAGAACAGCCCATCGCAATTGATGTTTCTGGTATTTGTCATGTTTAGCCCCCAGAACTTATTGTCAGCTTCCCCAGTTATTTTGACCCTGGTGCATCAGATGGTGTCCATGCCCCATATTCTTTTGGGTATTAGCGGGGCAGAAATCTCAGAGTTTTAAAGAGTTTTAGTTTAAAGAAAACAGATCATTAGTCATATAGTGTGTCCGTGTGTAGAGTCAGGAATGGACACTGTGCAGGTTTTCTAGGATCCCATGCAGACTAGGTAAAGGAGGAGTCAGAGTCCTCAGTGGTTTTTGCAGATCTTTTATTGGGATTTACCCAGTACACAGCAGGCAAGGGTCCTGGGGGGCCGGGAGGCTGGCAGGCCTCCCAGTCCCCAGCAAGTCTTTACTCTATCTGGGCTCTCCGGTGATCTCTGCTTCTCTCTCGGCTTCTGCTACTTCTTTCTCAGCTTCTCTTTTGGCTTCTCCTTTGGCTTCTGCTGGCGTCCCTGTGACGCCGCCCTTAAAAGCAGTCTTAGCCCAGGTGAATCCCATCTACCCATGCCCACACCCTACTCCAGGTGCCCGCCATCAGACATGCATTCAGGACCGCAAGGATCCATCATCTATCCTGATGGCGGGAGGGCAGAAAAGCCTGACATTTTTCCTTACCCCATACCGTGCATTCTGTGCTGGGTGTGTGTCAATTCCTATTCAGGTGTGTGCCCTTCCCTCCCCCTGAGCATCCTATCATTACCAGTTACAGAGGGTTGTCAAGTACAAAATAGAATCCAGAACAAAGGGGCTGCTTTATTAGTGATGAAGAATTGGTGGGAGTCATGAAGCATTTAAAATTATTTTTTTAAGCAATTTGACAGATACTCTAATTCACCTGATCAGCAGAGCAATGTCTGGAAATCCTCCTGCTTAGGAGACAAACTTCCCGTTGAATAGCAAAATAGATGACTAAGTTTCGGGTATGAAAAGTTGGGATACATGGCTTAAGCTACATATATTCTCTGCTGCAAGAACAAAGAGCAGGAGTGAGAGGGATTGGAAACTCATATATGGCTCAACTCACTTCACCAGAACAGAGCTGCCAGTGTTTTGAAATTCACACCCTATTAGTAATAAAGAAGATAGTTATCTGGGGACCACCCAACTCCTTCCCAAACACACATGGAAATATCACTCTAGATCCTAATATGGTGGTAAGCAGCTACATGCAGGACAGTGTGGAGCTATGGGGTCGTGCCTATATGTAATTCTTAAAAAGTTATCAACACCGATGCACTGAACATAGAAAATTGGCAAAGGAATGGTTAGATGAGGATAGATGCGAGAATTAAGCTGAGATAAATTGGCAGGGCTTATGATCATGCAGATAACAAGCAGGAAAATGGATGTAGAAAACTCAGTTACAGGGTTTGAGAAGAAGTGGATAAGGGAAATGGTCTTAACATTAATAGAAGCAGGAAGGATGAGGGGAGATTCAGAGACAGGTGATTTTGATATTAAACGTGCAGCAACAAGGGTGCCTGAATTGCATTCACAAATGCTAGGGAAAAGAGCCCAAAGCTGAAGAAAGGGAGTGTGGATTCTCTTTCCCACCCACTCCTATAGCGACTGGGTTTTCTGTGTTCCAGTGCCAGGAAGAAGAACTAAGCCTCAGCTTCAGCACACACACAGTGGCTACAAGAAATAAAACAAACCTACTTTTCACATTGACTGATCTAACTCCCCAAGGGTTGGCATTGTCTCCGTGTGTTAGAGAGCGAATATTCAGCCTAAGTAAATGCTGAACTAATAACTAAAGACTGCAACTGTAGATGCTGTGAAGTTTGTGATGAACAGTAATGAAAATGTCAGATGCCACATGGATGAGGAACTTGGTGCATAAGAAACACATGTTATTTAACAATCTGCCACTGAGTGAACAAAAACCAGCTGAAATCAAGCTAGAGGCAGCCAAGAACACACCGCTGAAGTCATTACTGAGCGATACCAAGATTGGCTCAGGAGCAGCAGAGCTGAGGTTCTTATTCTGCCAGAAGGCCAGAGCAGAGGGGGTGGACAGAGTGTGCTGGCAACTGGTAATAAGGGGGAAGGGAGGGGAAATGACAAGCACTCATGTGAAACTAGTTTATATATTGCATGGTGAGCAAAGAAAAGGAGGGGTCACTCTGCTCTAAAATACTCATCTCTGGGCTTACCCCTGTGACAATTTTATTTGGTCAGTTGTATTTTCGGTGTCTTCCATGACTAGGGGAAAATGACCTCTTAAAACAGCAGTTTTCCTAAGTACCCTCAAGAGTTTATAACAGCTTCTCTTAGGAAGAGAACTCTGCCAGGATGGAGCTTAGCACTGCAAGGTTAAGAAATGGAAATGTCAAGTATCTGAAATCACATACCCATTGCATAGGAAAAGCAGGATCAGCCATTCAGACAGATTAACAAGCAGAGTATGTATATGCTGACAGAATAAAAAAACAGGCTATTTCAGCCAAAATCACTGTACAATGAAAGTTACACTGTGTCGGGATATATTTAAAATTTTTGGTCATATAACCTTGGTTTTCCTATCTGTAAAATGGAGATAATGACACCTGCCATACAATGCTGCTGCAAGAAAGGCACAAAAAAAATTTTTTTGATAAGACCAACTCAATAAACTGAATCTAAGTACCAGGAGAAATGTGATATATTTAAATATAGGTGGCAATATAAATGAGCAAGTTAGCAGCTCTGTGCCTCATTTTTTCCACCTAAAATGGAGATAAAAGGGCATTATCTTTGATCTATTTAGCAACAAACTTCAGTTACCTCAACAGTTGATAAATAGCAACTCCCTTGAGCTTCCCTGTGACCTCCTTCTTTGAATACCTGAGGATACACTGTTATCCAGAAGCACAAAGGTTTACCTTTAAAGAATATTTTTTTTTAAACAAGGTAGAATCACTACTCTTATGCAGATATATTACAAACATTTATTTATATGTCAAATATTTATTTAACTCAGTAATTTTTTTTTTTTTTTTTTTTTTTTCGCGGGGACAAGCCTTTAATGCCATCATCACACCAGCCAGCCTTAAACCAGGCTCTGTTTGCACATGCCCAGGTCCAAGACCTCAGGTTCTGGAGAACAAGCCCTAGACAAGCCAGCTGCCAGTACTGGGTCCCTGGAGGACCCCTTTTTGGGCTCAGCATTCCATTTCCCTCCCCACAAAGGAGGTGCTAAGGCCCCTGGGGCCAGGCAGCAGCTACCTCAGAGTGGGGAGCCCACTTCTGCCTTTTGTACCCGCTCACTCCTGTGGGTGCCGTCGCAATATGGGGGCTTCTGGGTGGCCTTGCAGGTACAGAGGGCCACTGTGCGGGTCTCCTGGGCCTTGAACTTGAGTGGAGATAAGCCAGTGCGTTGGAAGAAGTGGGACCCATCACAGAAGGGCTGCTTCTTGCTCCGGCCGCACACACACCACCTGTAGGTTTTTCCAGCTACCAGCTCCACTTTGATGGGTGTCTTCAGGGACACCACAGACTTAGCTGGGGATTTGGGGAACCACCGAGCCAGCCAGGAGGCGATGCCCCGCCTCTGGTTCAGCATCCAGGCCGCCGGCCGCAGGAGCAGCCCCGCGCCGCCCATGCCGGCCCCACCGCGTCGCCAGGCCGGCTCCGCCCCGCGCGGGGTCACCTTCCCGCTTCCCCCCTAACTCAGTAATTATTGATGGAACTAGAAGAACTGTCCTGAACACATCGGTGTCCTGAGACTCCAAAGGTAAGTTTGGACAAATTTATAAATCCATCAGGATTGTTGAAGCCAATTTGCTTAAGGAATGCAAAACTGGTTTCTTCCACAATGAAGAGGAAAGTTAATTGAGCCACCATGGCACAAAAACTTTTTGCAAGTCTATAGACAAGAATTATTTGCGTTATGTCAATGTTGTACAAGTTGAATTTCTATCTATTTAGAGATTGCTAATGTTAACTCATAATCTCTATAGCATTGTAAAAAACTCAAAGCACAAACTCCACAGAATCAGAAAACTGAAAGATATGCTCTAAAGAATATATCCTTTTCATTTGGAGTTACCTGGCAATCTTTTTATTCAATGAAAAATCTCTCAAGAATTTTTTTGATGCCACCTTCCCCATTTGGTCAAGAATAGTTCCAAAGAAAAAACATTCCTGTAAGGTTGGTCCATTCGATTTGGCCTCATTATTTGCAAAGGTGTAATAGGAGCCTTTCTAAAAAGCTCCTTTTGGAACTGCTTTGGAAATCTAGAGCTGGATTTCCAATTGCTTAGAATTGCTTTGGAAATCTAGAGCTGCACATTATTGAACAATCACAAAATAAACTTCAGTTGGGAAATTTTCATGAGGATTTTTAGATTGAACCTTTAAAAGTTTATAGTCTTGGACCTCCCTGGTGGTACAAGGGGTTAAGACACAACCTATGAAGCTGTCCGCAGCCTCTGCAGCACGATATCGATCCCCTGGCCAGGGAGCAACCCACATGGTGCAGCAGACCTCTCCCGACTCACCTGCTGCTCCCCTCAGCAGTGTATTTTAGTCACTCTGCCTGTTCTGTTCCCCACTCTGTCTCTGGTGAAGCCTCTCACTCCCCCTCCACCTCTGGCCTGTACCCCAACTCTTATATGCATAAATAAAAAAATCTTTAAAAAAAAAGTTTATAGTCTTTGCTGTCTTTGGCTAGAAAACCAAACCCAGTTCTCTTCATCAAATTTCACCTGTATCACCAAACCCCGTGGGTGAACACTTCTCTCCTCCTATGTTCCATTATCTCTCAGGAGTGGCTTTCCTCATCACCTGGAACGCTGGGCCTTTTAAGCCAGCTTCCAGACTAGTCTCCCTGAGAGGCTTTTGTAAGCATTGGCCCCATAAGGAAATCCTAAGTAAGTAAAGTAAGTCTATTTTATTTCCTTACAAGTGATATCATACCTGGTTAAATGAGAATCATTCTTAAATAAAACATTCTAGGCAAAGCTTTGACTGTATACCCCAATATTTCCTATTATCTCATGGCACAAAGGAGGACATATTTTATTGAGCTTATGTAAATATATAATGTCATGAACAGTAAAAAGATTTAGTAAGAGTTTCTGATTTCCATTGGGGGTAAGGGAGACGGAGTTAGTGGGAATCAGATACTGTTTGAAAATGCTGCATTTTTACTTACAATAGCAGCAGCTACTAAGTTGCTCTTGGTTACAGAGCGCTTTACAAAAAGCAAAGGAGCTTGCTTATATATCTAGAATAGAGAACAGTAAATGAGCATCAATAAAGTTTCAAACAAATATTCACAATACCATTTGCTGATCAGTTCATTCAGTCCTATGTAATTAAATTGTGTTCTACTAGACCATGCATACATTAACAGCCTTAGAACACTGTCTTCTTGACTTAAGAGAGTTTGGAAATCCTGACTTAGCCCACTGACAAACAATGCCATCTGTACCCAGAAGTCTATTCTTAGAAAAGTCAATAGTTTGAAGTGCTCAGTATACGAAAGGGCTGAAACAATGCTTGTTTGTTGAAGATACAAACTGTGATACAAACTCAGTTCATACAAGTAAGAATTATTATTATTTTTTAAAATATTTATTTATTTATGCATACAAGAACTGGGGTACAGGCCAGAGGTGTGGGGGCCGTGAGAGGATTCATCAGAGACAGAGTGGGGAACAGAACAGGTAGACTGACTGAAATACATTGCTGAGGGGAGCAGCGGGCAAGTCAGGAGAGGTCTGCTGCGCCATGGGTATCGAACTGGCTGGGTATCGAACTTGTGCGGCAGTGGCTGCGGATAGCTTCATAGGTTGCGTCTTAACCCCTTGCACCACCAGTGAGGCCCCATACAGGTAAGAATTAGAAAAACAAAAACTACCTATAGATGACAGATGAAAGAAAGTGTGATTGTTTATTACTGATATTTTCACATGTGAAAGATCTGATGAAAGTTCAGGATAAAGTGGCTGATGAGGAAATGTGGTCATTTCTCTGCATACAAAACAAGATGATAAAGTGATTCCAAAAATAACTTTTTAGACAGACTTCCTATGGGTAATAATTGAGTCTATTATCAAATGTTACATTTGATTTATAAAATCATGAATTTAATTATGTAGAGAAAAAATTGATGTATATACAATAATCTTGAGATATATATATAAGAATACGAAAACATTCAGTAACTCTGGAGTAGGGCTTAGACATCTGCATTTTTTTACAAAATTCTATGGGTAATGCTAATGTGCATCTCTTATTTAGAACAACTGTCCTAAAAGATGTTAGATTCAAATGAAAGAAGCTTATTATCAAAAAGACAAGACTTAAAGGATTGGTGAGCATGTGGGAAAAATGAAACCCTTGAGCACTTGTGTAGGTGGGAAAGTAAATTGATGCAGCCCTTATGGATAACAGTATGAAATTTCCTCTAAAAACTAAAAATATAACTGCCATATCACCCATCAATCCCACTTTTAGGCATATATCTCAAAAGATACCTATACTCCCATGTTTACTGCAGCATTGTTCACAGTAGCAAAGATATGGAAACAACTAATATATACATAGACAGATGAATGAGTGAAATATAATGGAATAATATTCAGCCAAAAAGAAGATGGAAATAATGCCACTTGCAATAATATGCATGAATCTTGAAAGTGTTACATTACATGAAATAAATTAAAGAAAAAACAAACACTATATGATCTCACAGATATGGAGGTTTAAAATATGTCAAACTCATAGAAATAGAATGGTGTTTTGCAACGCCTCTGTAATGGATGAAATGTTGGTCAAAAAGGGTACAAACTTCCAGTTAAAAGATGAATAAGTTCTGGGAATCTAATGTACAACATGATGACTATAGTTAACAACACTATATTGGACTCTTGAAAAGTGCTAAGAGAGTAGATCATAAATTTTCTCATTTCAAAAAAGATAGTCATGTTAGGTAATGGAAATGTTAACTAATTTATGTTAAACAGCCTCCTCTGGAGAAATAGGGTGACCCAAGTTGTGAGTTCTCAACCTGCATAATTAAGAACTCAGAACAAGACCCAAAAGCAGACATACAGAGAGAAATTTTTAAAAAGGTTTATTTTATTTCCAAGGAAATGAGAAGAGGGAGGGAGAGAATAGGGGGTAATGAGAGAGAGGATTAATCCAATGACATTTCCCACCAGCAACATAGTGTGAGTGAAAGTATGCATGCTGTTCAGTTTTAAATCAAGTATGGCCACTTAACTCTATCCCTAGTTCCCAGTGGAAGCCTGTTCAGGAAGTCAGATTCACAGCATTCTGGGAGTTGTAATCCTTGGCACCTGTGATCTTGGGCAAGGAGATGGGGGTGGAGCCCATTCAGAGCATCATTCACTGGCTTGGAGTTTGCTTCTCACTGTTCCCCTGACAGTACATCGTATCATATTATACACCTCTATTTTACAGTATCATGTCATTTCTATTTCTATAAAACTGAGGTAGGGGAATGGTGGTTTATAAATAATAACTGAAATTGACTGGCAACACTACATTGTTGTTGCCTAATATCTGTCAAACTACTACTGAATTCTGAGCAATGGGAATATATTATAGACAATGAGGGCCATGACCAATCTTCAGGAATTTTCAGGTATATTTATATTAATACATTTTATGTATTCAAATATAACCTAGGGAAATCTAAGCATGTCTTCTGATTCAATAGCTCATTAAACAAATTAATTATTTCTATCATTGTTTTATAAGAACAAATAATTGTAATTTTTCAGAGATCTTCTGGGAAATCTCAAAGATAGTTTCAGGTATATCAGAATAAGAGAATATGTTCTGAAAGGATTTTATTCTTTGATTTTGCTCTTTTCCTTCCAGACTTGCCTGGCCCTTTCTGCCCCATTCTGATGGGTCCCCACCAGAAGTTGCCTTAGACACGCGTGGCAAGCTTTCGCGTCTCACTGGCCACACTTAGCTCCAACCCTGCTTTGCTGGGCATTTACCCACAATGGAATGGGTAATGTTAGGTGCTTTATTGAAAACTATTATCCTTTCTTCTGTTCTCTCTATTGCATATCAATTCTATTAAAGTTCTTTTCTGTTAAAGGCCTTGCATACAGAGAACATGCTTTGTCTTTTTGCAGTGGATGGCAAAATCCATTTAGAGCATGTAGATTTGGGGGTCCCAGGGTGCCCCTCATTCTGCCCACTAAAATTTCCTTATTTAAAATTTGATTTTGAAGACAAAAATTAAAAGTCAGAGGACATTTAGAAATCAGGTATTATAGTACCTCTAATAGATATCTGAGAGAAATAATGCTTAATTACACATTTAATCAGTGACAATAAAGTATTAAAAGTAAATATAAGAATACCACAGCTTAAAAAAAAAAAAAAACTAGTTCTTTCATGAGAGGAGGCTTTGTTTTTGATAGGCATTTTTTTTCTTTAAATAATCTAACAGAAGATCGCCACAATTATTTAAGGGTGCTTTAAAAAAAGAGAGACGAGGTGAAATGACTCTCAAACAACATAAAACAAACACCTTTCAAATATTTTATTTAACTCGTTAGTTAATGAAGGAACTGAAAAAGGTGTTACATCCAGTTCAAAGGAGAATTCAAGG